ACTAACCAAACAAAAAAAAAATCCTTTGGAAACTTTAAAAAAAAAATAACAAAAACACTCTATTACTAAAATTAAAATAAAAAAAAAAAAAAAAAAAAAAAAAAAAGAATATTTGTTTTTTTCGGAGGAAAAAAATAAGAAATGAGAAATATATATATATATATAAATATGTTCTATCATCCGATTAATTTTTCTTCTGTTTTTTATGTAGTGAGACTGAACGATAATTTCATCAATAATTCGTAATTGGTTTTATTACGTGCATTTTGCTCGAATTTTATCTTTTGTAATATAATATTCATGTAAAATTTTTTCAAGAATAATATCTTCGTCATTTTATTGAAAAAAAAAACAAAGATCTAATGAAAAACATTTATTTTAATCTAAGAAATATTTAAATATTTTTAATCTTAGACGAGATTTTATTAATGCGATTATATCTAAGAAATTGTTTCCTTTTTCGAAATAATTCAAGCAAATATTTAGAATGATCTATTGAAAATTTTTTTTTCTTTTTAATTATGAAAATTTAATGGAAATGAGAAAGAAAAAGCACATCATATGATGTGTATTTTGTGTAAACAAGAGTAAATAAATCAAATGTCGAAGTTATTTGACGTTGAAGAGAATAAAACCTAAGAACCATCTTCAACTCGAAAATAATAAAAGAATTGTTCTTTTCTTTTCTTTTCTTTTCTTTTCTTTTCTTTTTTTCCTAGTCATTACTTGACTTATTTATTATGTACTTCTATAAATTTCTTTTCATTTCCTTTAGTCTTTTCTCTTCTTTTCCGATATAGTTAATGATTAAATTACGAGATTTTCTTTCCACTCACAGAAATTTTTTAACGGATTGCATGACATTTTTGTACCAAAAAACAACGGATGCAAAATCAAATTGTTCATCAATATTGGAATATTGACCGGAATAATAACCCGGAATACCACGATAATTTCCAAGCGATGATGATCTTCTCTCATCATCATCATTATTATCATCATCATCACTGTCATCGTCATCATCATCATCATCATCATCATCATCTTCTTCTTCTTCTTCTTCTTCTTGTTCATCGTCATCAGACCGCTTCTCATTGTCGCTTTTCCTTTGTTCGTTTCGACTAGAAATTAATGAAGAATGAAGTGTTGAAGATGGAATAATTGTTGGTATAGATCTATTTCTAAACGCATAATTATTTTGTCTATGTGCATAACATTGAAATTGACTTGAACGTTGTTGTAATGATAATAATTTTGAATGAATTTGATCATCAAGTGTTTGATTAGTTGTATCAGATATTTGTTGTCGTGCAAGATAAGTTGGATAAGTATGTTCATTAGTATATTGTTGTTGTGGAACATCGACATAATTCATTTGTCCACTTGAATGATATGGATTATGATAAAATGAATTATCATTTAATTGGTTAATATTATCATCATTGGAAGAAATTCGTTCTTTTTCTTTTTGTATTTGTGGACGAAAAAAAGGTGAAGGTGTTATTGAATGACGATAACCAAAAGATGATGGAGCATTGGAAAGTACATCACGCAACCAACCGAACATGATGGTGAACAAGAACGAGAACGAGAACGAGAACGAGAAGCACCACTAACAAGCTTTGTCTTCGTTCTTCTATGCCAGCAATACACATGCAAAAAACAGCAGAGATTTTCTTCGCACGATTCGTCGGCGCGTTCTCGTCATCATCGTCCTGTATCCGGTCCTCTGTCCTCCAGGCAGTAACAAGGAAGAGGAGGAGGAGGGTGAGAATGCGAGAATGTGTATTTGCTCATTAATAAATTAGAAAAAACGACATTGATTTTTCTTCGCCCTCTCGTCTTCTCTCTTTTCTTTCTTTACTCAGTTCGACGAGTTCTATTCCTTAAGTCTTTTTCTTTTCGCTTTCTTCCATTTTCCTCTCCTTTTTTTTTTTCTTTTGTTTTTGCTATTGCATTCAAATGCAATAGATTGATAGACAGATAGATAGATAGACAGACAGAGAGAGAGAGAGAGAGAGAGAGAGAGAGTGAAGTACATCGTCTCAATCTCGTTGATATGACCGGTTTTTTGACTATCATTCAGATAGTCTTCTCTGTCTTTGTTTCTCTCTGTGCATAGATAAAGAAATCCGGATAATGAAATGGCATTTTTTTTTCCTCATGATATTATTTGATGGATCGATTGAAGCGATCAGAGTCTAGGTGTCCACAGATAGAAAAAGGAAACGTTTCTCAATTATCGTCTTACTACTTAGAATACAAAATGAGAAAATATTCGTTTTCAGCAATGTCGTGAGAAACATCACCTCATTTTTTTTCTTTTTTCCTCTCTCGTTTTATAATATATATATATTTGTGCGTTTTGTGTGCAAAGAGAAGATTCATCTATCTGTCGAACAATCAAATAAAACTGTTTGCCTATGCAGAAAAGCAAATCTGCAATAATGGCAAAAACGAGAAATTCATTCTTATCGATCTCTACGTGACGATTATAGTCATAGACATTCTATTTCACTATCAAATCGCACTCAATTGTCAATGTTAACGGGAGCAGATGAACACAAATAAAAAGAACAAAACTTAATGCATTATTACATTGACATGTGTAAAAAGACAAAACATTACATAGAAAAGAGACAAAAAAGAAAAGAATAACTCATAAAATAAAGTGAAATAAATTTCTATGTTAATTATATAATCTAGTTAACAGGTGTTTTTGACAATAATAAATTTTTCTCATTTATTAATAAACAAGCACGTTGAATTTTATAATTCCCTCTTGGATAGATGAATTGGTCGTGACTTAGAATGTTTATCTCTGTTGGCGACAAAATAATACTATAAGTATCGTCTTTCTCTTTCAAGCCGTACTTGACATAATTCAATTAGTTATTTCATATTCATCATTTATTATAGAATAACAACTTGCTTTCAACATTAATTCTTTTTACTACAAATAAAATCATTCAGAGCGAAAACAGAACTGTTAGCTAGTTTTTTCAAACATGACAAATAAAAAGAAACACACACACACACACACACACATATACCATGCAAAAAAAAATCAATGTGCATATTAGCCTTATTCGATTTCTCCGAAAACAATAAATGTTAGACATGTGAAATAAAATGCAGATACCTCGCTTTTTTTTTAATGCAAAAGTTGCATGCAATATTAGCAGCAACAATTATTACCTGAATGAATAGTATTTATCATGTTTCTATTTATATAATAGACAGACGAGACAACAATCAATAATAAAATGCATTTGTTTTATCTTACGTTTCATTTTGATTTAAATCTGTTATTTTATTCATTGGTAATTTTCTTGGTTGACTTATATATGAAAGTGGTTCTTGTTCTATAAATGAGATTGTATTTTGTATTTGATTTTGATTTGATCTTCGAGATGTGTTTGGTATGGAATGTAAATCTCTAATAAGTGGTTGAACAAATGCTAATGGTTTTTTAGTTGATATTGATGAAGATACATTCTCATTTGTTGATAGTACTACATTTGATTGGGACATAGATGATACTGGATAATTTAAATTAGCTTGAGTATTTATCGGATAAGATACATCTGATGTGTAATCACTATCATCCGAAACTTAACAAAAAAATTAGAATAAAAAAGAAAAAGAAAAAGAAAAAGAAAAAAAAAAAGAAAAATGATATTTTATTTTATTTTATTTTATTTTGTTATAAATAAATACTTACAATGTGAATGAGAATGATTAGTTAGTTGTTGATATTGAAGAGGCTATTTAAAAGAAAAAGAATAAATCTTTTTAAAAAAAAAAAAAAATTTCATAGATTAATTTTTAATGAGTAAATATAATTTATATTAAATATTAATTTTATATAAAAGTTAACACATTTTAGTTTATTTGTATAATTTAATAAAAATATTTTTATTTAACAATTAACAAATGATTACCCTAACGACGATAAAAATTAATCAACATGTTTTACTTTTTTCAATGAAGAAAATATTCTTTTGTTTATTCATCGCAGAATACTTAAAAAGTTTATTTCTAATAATAAAATTTGTATTTTTTTCTAGGATTAAATTCTTTTTCAAAAATTTTTATGTTTATAACTATATTTTTAAAATATTTTTTTTCATGAAATTTCGTGAAGAAATTTATAGAAATATCCAGAAAACTATTTCTTTTTTTTCTTCAATAAACAATAATCAATTTCATGAAATTCATGTTACTCAGATTTTTCAAAACAAAATCTTTCATACTTAATTCTCTTACAAAGAAAATTTACACTTGAAAATAGTATAATATACTAGTTTTCAATTATTTTTTAAATATTATTTAACAAATGAAAGACAAAATTAATATGTCAAATATAAGATTTAGTTTTCTGGTAATTGATATCAAATCTAAATATTTTTTCAATAAAAACAAAACAAAACAAAAAGAATCTTTCAAAACATCATTCATAGATTAGAAAATTTGATTAGTGTCACTTTTGAATTGAGAACTTTATAGAACTAATATAGATATTACAAAATTGTTATGTTAAAAATGTTTTTAGAGAGATTTTCAATCAAATTTAAATTTTTATTCAGAGAAAATTCTTTATTCAAAAATGTATAAATTAATGTTAAAAAGTGTTAAAATAAAAAGAGAAAATATATATCGATATAACTAAAATAAAGCTTCATAGATATTTATTTCTAATATTGAGTTCAAATAGAATGATAGATTATTTTCTGAAATGATTTTGTTTTTTTTTTACATTTTTAATCATTATCTAGATTATTTTTGATGACATTATCGGTCGTTAATCAGATTTTCATTTATATTAGCTTTGTTAAAGCTAAGGATTTTAGTTTTAATCTATTAAATAACAAATAAATCTTGGAGAGTTGCATAAAAATTTTTAATGTTTTTAAATAATTTTCTTTTCAACAATCTAAATGATAGATATTAAGGTTAGATGAAAACTAGAGGCGTCTTTTAAGTTTTTTCCTATAAATTCATTATTGATTTAACTTAATTGATTGATTTGTTTTTTGATGACGCGTTAGCACATTTACCTTTTATTTATAGGGACAATTTTCGAAAGTATTCTTCAAAACTATCAACTTTAATCACAATAAATAGATTTGATTATTTTATTTTTGTCAAACACGATTTAATAGGAATGAATGTTAAAGTATATGAGTAAAAGTTTGGATTTTCTTCTCCCTAAAGATATGTGACAAAGGTTAGTGACATACGATCAAAGAATGTATATCTATAAGATCTTGTTATAATATGTAAACTACAGTAGTTCTTTATTATATTTATCGATGATTAAATAAAAAGATGGTGAACAAGTATATCCTAAAATAGAACAAATAGAACAATCTGTCTCTGATTAGCAAGATTAACAACATCATCTTTCATATTTTAATTCCGCAAGAATTATGTTAACAGTTTTTATTCCCAAGAATTACTTATGGGCGATTTCTTGTTCACATAGCTTGAATTTCTTCAATTATTTTTGTCTCTAAGTTGACTAATTATTGAATGATCATTTCATAGATGTTTGCATTAATATAAGTGTTCACAAAAAAAAAAAAGAAAAATTTGCAAAAATATTTGATAGTTATAAAAAAAAAATACTTTTGAATTAAGTCCGTAAGAATGAATGCTCGACGAACTTACCTGCTATTTGATTCTGTGTCTATTTTATCGTCGACGCATATACGTGTCATGGACTTTATCAATGTCTAAAGCTAACGCAATCAATCGTAGTACATGTTTTTTAGATTTGTTTGCATAGAAATAAGCATTAGGCAGCTGAAGCTTTGTGATAGGACCATTTCATAATGATATGTTCTAGAACCGTGCCTTAAAGAGAGAGTTTGCATAGGAAAGAGTCAGTTTATTGTACTTATGCTTATCTTTTGTTCTCTTTCTTCTTATTCGAGAACTTATTATAAAGTGCGGCTTCAAGAGGTCGCATGTTGGCAGACCATTAAATCAGACTTTTTCCTTCTCCAATTTCTTCAAATAAAATCAGTCAAACTTCTCGGAGAAGATATTATGTTTATAGTAATACTGAACAATGTGCAAAGGAATGGAACAATACTCTCTCTACCAGTCTAACAAATGTGATATTCGGCTGTACATTACTGACTGTTTGAAAGATTTTCATACTTTACCAATTATTTAACATCATCTTGTCGAAATCTCTGAAAATCACTGTTGGAGTTAAAACTATTTTTCAAAAAGTTGATCACTTATAACTACCCTAATTTTAACTCCAACAGTGCTGAAAATGGATAAAAAATAAACAGATACAAATATTTTTTGAACAGATATTATCCACTCTCTCTCGCTCTCTCTCTCTCGCTCTCTCTCTCTCTCTTATGTTAATAGTCAATTGAATAAATCGAATTCAATTTATTTTAGAAGAGTTTTTAATAAATAAAAGTAGATGTTATCAAAATGAACGTGTAATTAGAAGTTATTAATCTCATTTTTTATCTGAAGAATTTCAGACGACATTCATTATGAAAGAAAAACTCATCTTTTAAACATTTTCATGTTATATATTTACGCTGATTGAAACTATTCTGTGTTCATCCAATAAAATTTATTAGAAACAAATTATGCATCTACCGACAATTTATGAAATTTAATAAATAGTATTTCAGTCAGAGATATTCGAATATATTTTTTAAAATCATCTCTTTCTTAGTATTTATTTTAAAAATAAATAGATACGAAAAAATTTATTCAATTTATTCAATATTTAAAACAGATCTTTCGGTATTTTTTTAAAGAACAAACTGTAACGTCCTTTATGTTTCTTCACTTAAACAATTCTCGATTTATAAATATGTTACTGACGTCAAGTTTTTATTTTTGCCAAATATACCGTAACAAAAAAGATCTTAGATTTTTCATCTGAAAATTTATCAATAGAGATTTTATCATTATTATCATGTATTTAATATATTGTCTATTAAACACTGAACTATATGTTTATATAGATAAGATCTTTTGTTTTGAACACAATTTAAGATACAACATTTAAACCATTTGAGTTTTCATAATAAATTCCTTCATAGAATAAACATTAAGTAAAATAATTATACAGTGAGAAGATAGATTCATGGATAGAAACCATTTTTGACTTACGAGAGAGGGTCAACAACTGTTCAATTGATTTTCCGTTGAAACTGTTTGCATTATGCAGTATCCCAAGAGTTATGAATACTTTGAAAAAAAACTTCGACGGCTAGATTATTGTTATGAAAATATTCCATTTTTAAAGTCTAGTTTTTAATGAGTGCCGTGGTCCCCCTCAGGAACATCGGAAAAGTTGATTTTCGAATTTCAAGTGGAAAATTTATATGGAAACAAGTCACAACAAGAATAGTATTTTATGAAAGTTTCATGTCTTTTGGTTTGTTCGTTTTATCAAATCTACTGTTCTATTTGAACGATATAAAATACACGTTTTCAGAATATCATCCTCTGATGATAGGAACAATACCAAGATCTGAAATGTTCGAAGAAAGTTGTTTTCGTTGAGGCCTCTTTCTATGTAAAGTTTCAACTCGAAGTTCGAAAATCAACTTTTTCGATGTTCCTAAGAGGAACCACGGCACTCATTAAAAATCAGTCTTTAAAAATGGAATATTTTCATAACGATAATCTAGCCGCCCAAGTTTCTTTCAAAGTATTCATAACTCTTAGGGTACTACATAATGCAAACAGTTTCAACAGAAAATCGATTGAACAGTTGTTGACCTTGCCTCGTTAGTCTAATTAAAATAAGAAAATCTCATCAGAAAAGCTTATAATCACTTGAAAACTTAGTTTTCCTTATTAGTATACTAAACTAACTATAACTAAAAATAGTTTGTCTCTAACATTTTCTTTTTTTTTCTTTTGTTAATTAAGAAGCAAAAAAAAAAGAAACTTACAGAAATTTATCATTGATATATAAAAGATTTTGTAATTAGTTTATTAAAAATGACTTAATATCCTATTTTATTTGATTATGTTGACAGTGAAATTTTGATATTCAATAAGATATATTTGAAAATAATTCAAAATCAATTTTCTTTTCATTTAATGAAAACTTTATCTGATATATATATATATACATTAATACGTTATTTATAGATCTGTTTGAATGTTTTTTTTTATATGTTCTGAAGAAAAATAAAAATTATTTTAAAAAGTCATTTTCTAATACAATTATGTTAATCCTTAAAGAATTTTCGATGATATGAAAATTTGTTTTCTACTGTGTAAATATTAAAATAAACAAAACTATGTTAAAATAAAAGCTTTGTATTTTATTTTAATTGATAAATAATTCTTAACTAAATAACTGTTTTTATTTTCTAATTGAAATTATAATAAACAAAATGTTACCTGTTGATCAAGATGCATTGTAGAAAGTGATTTGATTTCATTGAGTGTAATATCTTGCAATTGACGTCCCTAGGAAAAAGAAAAAAAAAGAAGAGAAATGTATATCTTATTTATGTGGTTCGTTGTTTTCTGTCAGAAAATAGAAAAAAATACGAGTCTCAAGAGATTCCCATAGACACGTTCGACTTGTTTGAGCATGTCATGATAATCAATATAATGTCACTTTTTCAGGTATTAATACAGAAATAAAATCCAATAGCGTGTGTCACTATAACGTGATTACTTTTCTTTATTCTGCTTCTTTTTCATCTACTTCTCGTTCTTTTTTTATTCTTCTTCCTTTTCTGTTCTCTATTAAATAGGAAGCGAAAAACGATGGTTATTCTTAAGATTAGACGTTTTTCTTTTTCTTTTTCTTTTTCTTTTTCTTTTTTTTCTTTTTTTATCATCATCTCTATTATTTGAGTCTACTGATGGTACCAATTTCTGTTATTAATCGTCGACATTTTGTGCTCGATAAATACATACTAAATCAAAAATTGATTTAAGAGACAAGATCAACAAAATGCAATAGACCAGAAATAAAGAATAATAAGAAGAAAAAAGAATTTGTTTATATTTACTTCTTTATCAAGAATTTCACGAAGAATTTCAAGTTTTTCAGTTAATTCTCTTGATTCTTCTTCTGTTAAATCAGATGGTAATTCAACATAAGTTCGAATAAAAATTGAATGTTTTGTTGGATTACACGTTCGAGCAACTTGTCCTTGACGGTTTAAAATTAATTCAGAATCAAGGATGATCCATCGTTCAACAGGCCTTCAAATAGAATTATGGGAACGTGGTCAATTTCGAGATAAATTACTTGG